AGGTAACAGCGTTCCGTGCGCCTTGGTGTTTAGTCATGCCGGCCACATGACCACGGAAACGTCTTCGGACAGCGCTGGCTCTTCGGCTTTGAAATGGAGATGAGCACCGCAACCCTAGAGTCGGATTTGACTGGCTTTCGAGCAAGGGAACCTTTACCTTTACCTAGACTTCTTCAGATACATTGAAACAGTTTCCCTCAAGCCTTAAAAATAGGTAGAGAGAGGGTGGGGGGTAGCTGCTGGGAAAGGCAGGGCAAGATGTAGAGTCAAGATTTATCAGTAACTGGGCGATAAGTATAGCTGACATTGGATTAAAGTAACTGTATGCTAATTTGCTGCCATTCACAGGTTATAACAACAGCTTTAATCCAATTTCAGCTATACTTATTGCCCGGTTACTTATGCATCTTGACTCTAACTAGCCCTTCCTGGCAAATAACGCCCCCCCGCCGCCCCTATGTCAGGCTTGCGAAAAACTGTTTCACTGTATCTGAATAAGTGTGCCTGCATGCGAAAGCTTATACCCCGAACGTCTTCGGACAGTGCTGTCTCTTTGGCTTTGAAACTGAGATGAGCACCGCAACCCCAGAGTCTCGACTGGCTTTCAAGCAAGGGAACCTTTACTTTATGTCCTTTATATGGAGCTGCGGTGGCTCAAGTGGTTAAGACGCTGAACTGCAGGCTGTGGAAGGTCAGTAGTTCAGCAGTTCAAGACCCGGGTGCCGCATGATGGACTGAGCTCCCGTCTCTAGTTCCAGCTCCTGCCAACCTAGCTGTTGGAAAGCAAGAAATTGCAAGTAGAGAAATAGGGACCACTTCGGTGGGAAGGTAACAGCGTTCCATGCGCCTTGGTGTTTAGTCATGCCAGCCACATGACCACGGAGAAGTCTTCGGACAGCGCTGGCTCTTCGGCTTGGAAACGGAGATGAGCACCGCAACCCTGGAGTCGGACTCGACTGGCTTTCGAGCAAGGGAGACCTTTACCTTTTCCACTTAAATAAAACAGGAAAATTAAAAAATAAATAAAAAGGACGCGCTGTTAATTCACTTTGCAACCGGATCTTCACTTTCCGCGTGATTGACAAATGCCCAAAAGCGCCGGCAAGAATTCGGGAAATGTACCGGCCGCTCCTCCTCCAGAAAGACCTAATCTCACCCTCCCCATTTCCACCGACAGGGGATGCCTCCCCCCCTCCCCCTTTGGCGTAAGGAAGGCGGGAACTGCGAGCGAGGCGCGCTCGCCTCCCCTCCGCCGGGCAGCCGCCTTCGCCGTGCTGCTGCTGCTGCTGCAGTTGGGGGGCGCGTGGTGGCGGCGGGCGGCGCTTCGCCCGAGCCGTCGTCGACGACTCCGCAGTTCGCCGCCGAGGAGGCAAGCGGCGGAGGAGCGACCCTTTCCGGAGCCCCGGAGAGGCGCGCTTCGCCTGAGGCACCCCCGCGGCGCCGGCGGCGGCTTCCCGATGCTCCGTGGCGTGGGGGAGCGCTGAGGAGGGAGCCGCAATGTGAAGCGCGCCAGGGAGGAGCCCGCCTGCCTGGCCGGCCACGAGGCTGAAGCGGTCGGCGGGGGGGCGGCGGGCGCCCCCCCCCCCCCGGGGGCG